AATCATTACACTTAAAAAACAAATGCTCTCACCTCTAGATGATATATTTGTCCTGCCATTTTCCTCAGTTGATGGGAATCACTGATTCCTAATCATTTACCATATGCAGTGGGGAGATAGAGGGAATTAAATCTCACATCCAATGAAGGTCAATAGCCAAAAGAGTAAAAAATATTTCACCTCCATAACTGGCTAATACAAAGAATTCCCCTATCTTTCAATGAAATTGTTTTCAGATTTCTCAGAAGACCTCCAAGTTTTCATTCCAAAGTAAAGATATGAAAGTACGATTTCCTGAAAGTCAGTGATGAGGCGAGACAACTAGGGTATTTATGAGCCTCTTATATTGTCATGCTCAAAACTGTAGAATGTTAAGCAGACTACTGATTCACTAGAGAAATACTCCCAGTCATCTCAGGTTTGTTTACAACAACAGACAAAGGAGAGACATAGCTCATAGATCAGCAGATCATAAAATGGAGACAGCTCACTGCCAAGGGCAAATTTAGAACTCTGAATGAGGAAAAGATACTGTGCCCACACAGCACCCAGACACAGAAATCCAAGTGAGATAATAAGGGTGTCAAAATTATAACTGCCATATATAGTACAAGAAAGCTCATAAAAAGAAACTTAATTCTAGTGTTGTAATTAGAAATTAATGGAAAAATCTCAGCAAAATCTTCAGAGTGAAAACAGAGCCCGGGGGATCCACCTGAAATGATTTACCGAATTAATGATTAATTGTCAAAGGACTTATGCAAGTAACAACAGAGAAGATTTTTTAATTATGTATGTACAATTCTGTGGTGATAAATTTGAAAGCATCAATGAGATGTACTCCTTTCTGGGAAGATAGTTACAAAATCTAGTTCAAGTAGAAGTAGAAAACCTGAAGAAACCAAAAGCCATAGAAAAAAAACAGAATTGTGAAAAAAATTACAAAATGTCTCAAAAAAAAGTTATACCAGCAACTTCTTTCACATTCTCAAGGAACAGTTTATTGGTATATACACCATTAAAGAAGATAGGAGAGTGACTTTGGATGGAAGGATCTTAAGAGAGTTTATTGATAGTCTGATGTAAGTCCCTCAAGAATCAATGTCCTAATCCAAACCCATCTGTGAAGGAACACATTTCCCTAAGACTTCCTTAGCAGCAATATTGCCTTTTTCCTGGTTCCTTCTCAATTCCTTTCTAATCAGAATGCACATTAACAAAAGGGATAGTGTAAGGAGAAGTTTTTGATGTTACATTTCTTCAGAGTCTCTAGCCTTGTTCTTTGATGTTCCAGGATAGGATATATGCCAATAGGATCAAGTCTCTGATTCTAACTTTGAAGAGCCTTATTTACTTAAATGCTACCTGTGGGAGGAATTTGGGAAATAACTTTCTAAAGCAATTAGTTTGGTACAACTCAAAGAACAAAGGAACAACAGGAAAGACATTATGAAAATGTCTGGTTTTCAAAACTATTCTGCCTTGAGAAAAGCACGGTCAGATGCCTAGCAGAGAATGGCACAAGGAGAAGTTTAAAAATATTCTACTGAGAGCTGTCTGGTGGTGTAGTGGTTGAGCTCCTACCTACACTCCATTTCAGTGGCCCAGGGTTCACTGGTTCAGATCCTGGGCACGGACCTGCACACCACTCATCAAGCCATGCTGTGACAGCATCCCACATACAAAATAAAGGAAGATTGGCACAGATGTTAGCTCAGCGACAATCTTCCTCCAGCAAAAAGAGGAAGATTGGCAACAGATGTTAGCTCAGGGCCCATCTTCCTCACCAAAAAAAAAATATAAATATATAAAAAAATACAAGTCAGTCATTTGCCATTATGCTTAGAAGCATAAGAAACAGGCTTAACTCTGTCACTCCTGATGTGGCCAGTTTCACATTTCTATGCCTCCTGTGTGCAAATCTTTTTTCAGAAGAACACTTAAAAAGGCAACAAACAAGCAAAATGGAAGGAAGTAAAAAATGCAAACAGAAGAGTGATTATTTTTGTTCATGCTGTTATTTTGGTTATTATTCTGTTTCATGCTAAGTAAGGAAAGCAAGACAATGGGATGACTCACCAAAAAAAAAAAAAAACATAAAGGGAGAAGTGATGGACTTTCAATTTCCAATGCAATGAATAAAAAATATACTAATGGGGAGGAAAAATAATTTCCCTTCTACCCTTGTAGGTTCTTGGCTGAGACTCCGCTGTAATAAAAGACAGACTAACAGGATAAAAACAAACAGAAGTTTAATAACATGTATACCTCCTGTACACATGGGAGAGACCCAGGAGGACTAAGTAACTCCCTGAAATGGCCCAAGCCACTGCTTTAAATACCATCTCCAGCTAAAGACAAAAGAAGATGTTGGTGGGAGCTTTGGGAGAGATTTACTAATCCTCCTCTTCTGTTTGTAAAGGAAACACCCTTACTAATGGAGATTTTCCTTAATAATGTAAATTTCTCCTACAAAAGGGTAACTTCTACTCAGTTTTCAGAGCTTCTCTTGCATCTGCTGTTTCTTAAAAATTACCAGCTCTTCTAAAAAAAAAAAAAAATTACCAGCTCAAGATAGTCCTTATGCCTAAGAAACAGTTTGGGACAGCAAATTCTACTCCCCTTCAATATTAAGGATAGATGACTAACAGCAAAATAGATCATTTAAGGCTACATATAATTTTTAAGAGATGGGTTTCCTGAATTCCATGCCCACCATCCATGACGCCATCTCTCAGGTCACATAAGTACTACCCCCAAGGTAAGACACACTTCCTTACCATCCTCTTCTCTCCTTTCTTTCATCAATGCACCATTTCCTGCCTCTTATTCCTTCAAGTCCTTGCTCATAACCTGATATCTTATGTAATAAAGTGATTTCCTCCAAAGTGCAATTAGACACAATAGGGCTACCCACCCTACTTCAGAGGATAAAGCATGACTGTGACTTTGCCACCTGTATATCCTGAAAAGTGGTCACCAAAACTACCTTCAATGAATAAACATCCTCTTAAACATATACATATATATGGATAAATGTGTGTGGACGTGTGCATTTTAGTCGTGCACAGAGGCACAACACATAAAATAATTCAGTTTGGGATAATGCACGCCACGATCATAGGTAGCTTTAAATTTCTGTGGTTAAATGAAGTTTCGAAAACTCAGTCCAAGTCTGATCTAAAGGGCTTACTGATCTAGGCCCTTTGAGAAGTAAAACTTTTCTAAAATACAAAGTAGAAAATTGTGATCACTAAGCTGGAGTTACCACTGTGATCTTCCCTGTGTATGGCTTATTCAGAGCCCTACAAAAAAGAACACAAGGTAAGCTGGGGGCCTCTGAAGCTCCAGCCCCATGCTTCTTCAAGGCTACAATCCTGTGAGCTATTCTTGCAATGGTCTTTGATGTAAAATAGTGAAAACACTGGATTATCCTAAGAATACTATTTTAAAAGGAGGAATTTCTGGGATTGCTTTTTTTCTACTGCTGACCCAGAAAGACCCACGAATCCATAGCAAGGAAATTGAGTGTGACAAGACCATCAGAGATTGCTCAGCTACAATGAAGGACCTGGAGCCACCATGTTCCACAGCAGGGATAAATCACAGTCCATGTTTCCATAAGGCAGGGATCCATTAGGAAAGGAGAGCTGAACACGGGAAAAATTCTACAGCCAATTCACTATTGTAGCACTCCTGTGTTGCTTTTCCACTAATGAACAAGAAAAGAATTCTATTCCACCACCAATTATTAATAAGTATCCATGAAAGACATAATTGTCCATCAACACCATTTTTGAAATATAGATGCTCTGATCAAAGGTCTGGCCTACATTAGCTCATTTAACTTACACATGTGTTCTCTTCTGGTGCTATAGGTAATGAATATCAGTTACCACCCTTGTAAGTTTTCCAGTTCAATCTCAGTTACAGTCACTGCCTTGGGTTATCCATTCTAATGTACTTTGCATTCAGTAGACAATAATCCCAGTCACCCGGTCCCCAGTCACCCACGATATGCTGGTTTTATTACTCCAACAATCATCTCCTGGACTTTTCTCTAATAGTCACTGCAAGCAAAGTAAGAACTGAGTACTGCTTTCTGTCCACCCTTGGGATGTGACCGCAGAATGCTCCTCCACATCTCTGGGAGGCAACCAAGCTGCTTGAACTGACTTTTCAAGTCAGCCCTTAGCCCCATGTGGTCTATTTTGATTCTATCAGCTTATGCCAAGGACAGAGGATACATGCCCTTGAGTGAACACCTAATGCCAATTTGAGTCCATTTTCCTCCGCTGTTTTAGCCAAGCATGGCTCTTGCCTCTAAACACTCATTGCCTTTCCTTCTGCCACCACAGCTTGTTGCTGTCCTAGAGTTTTATCTCCCCCACTGACTAAAGTACAGGATTGATTCCTGCACTGGGAGGAAAGAATTTAATTGGTGAATAACAGTCACTTTTGTTCCCTTGCATTCAGTGAATTTATAAGCTACCAGTATTTCAAAAAATAGGGCCTTCAGGCAGGAGTAGCATTTGAATCTGAGCATCAGCCATTTATCTACCTCAAGCACTCAGTGCCCAGTGAAGCTCAGTTGTTACTTAGAAAGCCTTAATAGGCATCATGGGACCCTAACACATCCTCTCTCACACACATAAGCAGTCTGGCAATGTTCCAAAGAACAAAGACCCAATACAGCAGCTCTCCACCTTCCTTTCAAGCTCTGTTCCTGCTCACTTAATTTTTGTGTGTCTCAAATTAAGCTATTTAAGGCATTTTCCTCACTAAAATGAAAATTAAAACTAATATTATAGAAACAGAAATACCTATCAGTCTTTCTCAGAAATACAATTGAATTAAATGCCAGTACTTTTAAAAGAATAACTGTATTGTGGCCTATTGTGTCCCAAGATTCAAACAGCAAGCCCAGCCCCACACTAAGGTGAACAGAGGGAGCCCCCAAAGGACTTGCCTTCCTGCATGAATATCCACAAGCTACTTACCAGGTCATTCTACGTGTCTGTCTCAGCCACAAGGCCACTTCAGTTCTGTGCTAGAGAACTAAACAATGTCCAACTGCCCTGCACACTGGTACTGAATGGAGTGAGCTGTGAATACTAACATATGCAAACAAATACAGTGTCATAGGACATGGATCCAGTGAATGATGTAACCAAAGAATTTATTTTGTTCATGGGGTAGAGGGAGGAGAAAAGCCACACTGACAATCTAATAGGAGAGAAAGTGAGGAGTACAGCAATGAGATAAACTGAATGGAAATCTGTGAACCCACAAGTGCAAATCAGGGAGGAATTAATATCTTCAGAGACCTAAAGGTCTCATTTCTAGCCCTTACTTCTCCCCTCACCCCTATCCATGCATAACTCACAAGTAATACTAAATTACGAACTTGGTATAGAGAATTATCCAGAGGTGGATTTTTCCCCCATATTGACTACCTGTATTATGTTTTAAAATTTCAATTAATAATTTTTCTCCAAAATATTCTTCTGCTGGTGTACTAAGCACATGCTAAAAATGCTAAGAGGCTAATTGCTTTTTCCACATCAACAGGAACATAATTCAGAGTACATAGGACAAAAAAGAAGTCACACAGAAGTGGTAATGTTTCTTTTGGTTCACCCATGTTTTCTCTTTTTGAGATGTTATTAAGGATGAAGAAGTAAGCTAAATTTTTTTGGAGGACACTAGGGTCATTCTTAAAAGACAAGTAAGAGACTTTTGCAAATAACTAATAATTGATCAACTACAACTTGTGACTCTGCTGTAAGAGTCAAGCAACATGTTACAGAAAAACAGGAAATAGATTCTTCCCTCATTTCGGGAAGGAAGAAAGGTATTAGGGAAAGCTTGGGAAACAAGGGTGCATTTGAACTAGGTCTTCGGTGATGAGAGGGATTTTGATAGCTGAGTGGTGAGAGTGGGAGGACTGGGCCAGTGTTAAATGCAAACAGGGTTACTGAAGGCAGAAAATAGAGACAGCAGGAAGCTTCTAGGTTATACATGTTTGCTATGAATGATATTAAGGTGACAATTAAATTCCTTTTTCCTGATTTTTTTTGCTTATAATATAAACTTCTGATCTGTAATTTATTCTTCTGAAAGGACCTGTTCACTATACACTAGTCAGTGGGGTAAATGATATGGATGATATTTTTCTAATGGAGATGAGAAAACTAAACCAAAGGAAAATCATAATAGCATTAAACAACTTCAAATATCCTGACACAAGCTCAAGTCTTTTTCTACTTAAAGTGGAAATTCTCCTTAAAATTTGGCCAGACTCACAGATAATTTTATCTCTTGTTAAATGGAAACCACAACAAGAACGATCATTCTAAATGTTAGGACTTAATTCTGACAGACAGAACTAATATAATAGTAAGGAAAGAACAGACTTTTTATGAAGATGTGGTTTTGGGTCTACCAATTAGAAAAAATGTAATTCTTGGCAAACTTCATGAATCTCACTTTTACCATATGTATAATGAAATAAAAATGATCTATGTGGGGTAGAAAAAATAATTTTCCCTCTACCCATTCTAGGTTCTTGGCTGAGAACCCCCTGTAATAAAAGATAGATTAATGGGAGAAAAACAAACAGAAGTTTAATAACATGTATCCCTCCTGTATACATGGAAGATACCCAGGAAAACTGAGTAACTCCTTGTAATGACCAAAGCCACCACCTTAAATACTATCTCCATTTGAAGACAAAAGAAGATGTTGGGCTGGAGGGAGGCCAGTTATGGGAGGTTAACAAGGGTAAGGTTGTTATGCAGGTTTAAGTCATTGTCTCCTACATTGATAAGAGTTTCTAGAGATTGAGTCATCTTTTACTTCCTGAGAAGAGGGAGACACCCTTCCATATGGAGATTTCCCTCATAAATGTAAATTTCTCTTCAAAAGGGTAACTTCCTTACCCAGTTTTCAGAGCTTTTTCTACATCTGCTATTTCTTTTCTTTTCTTTTTTTTTTCTAAGATTGTCACCTGGGCTAACAACTGTTGCCAATCTTTTTGTTTGTTTGTTTGTTTTTCTTTTTTTCTGCTTTATCTCCCCAACCCCCCCCCCCCCCCCCCCCGTACACAGTTGTATATCTTAGTCGCAGGTCCTTCTAGTTGTGGGATGTGGGACGCTGCCTCAACGGGGCCTGACGAGCAGTGCCATGTCCGTGCCCAGGATCCGAACCCTGGGCCACCACAGCGGAGCGCTCGAACTTAACCACTCAACCACAGAGCCGGTCCCTGCTATTTCTTAAAAATAATCAGCCTAACATAATCCTTATACCAAAGAGGCATATGTGGGGGTAGTATATTTTGCTCCCCTTCATCGACTTTTCACATATATATGGCAGTGTCAATGCAAATAACCAATAACCATTCCATAGATAAGCAATAAGGTGAATTTTACTTGAGCCTGGCTGAGGACTAAAATCCAGGAAGGCAGTCTCCACAAAGAAAGAAGGCATTCTGGAGAAGCATGGTTTTCAGTACAGTTTTATACCTTTTTAGAACAAAGAACATGCATCAAACATGCCAAGGATACATATTCATCAAAGTTTCAAAGAGATATTCAGTCACAGATTAGCAGATTGACATGACTCTGATGTTCAGGAAAGGAAACTTATCCTCAGGAGTACTGATACTGAGGTTAGTGATACTGAGCTTACTGATACAGGTTGGATCGGAAAGGAAGTATGCATCCTTATCTTCAAAGAGTTCATTCTTTTACTTTGAGATAATGTTTAATGAATTCTTTACTTTAACAGTTAAAGCAGATGTACAATATATCTTTAATAGTCCATAAGTCAGGCTTCTTTAGTTCAAGCCAAATCAGGTTTAAACCAGAATAGCTACCTTATATTCCTCAATATGTGAAAAATTTCTTGTCAGCAGCATTTCTGGTCCAGAGTAGATATTCAATATATTGTTGGCATTATTACTATTGAATATAGGAAGTTACTAAGACACTTAGTTCATAAAAAATAACTGAGGGTTTGGTATAGCCTAGACTTCAGAAAAACATTTCAAAACATTCGAAGAAAAAATACATATATCTTCATAGCCACAGATTCTAAAAGGAAATAAACATTATGAGAAATAGAAGATTGCGTGACCACAGGCCCATTTAGAGTCAATCCGAACAGACCCCATCTCTTACGAACAAAGTGATTAAGGATTGTCTTTCAGAAAACCAGCAAAGTCATTTAACCAGGGCATGCGCAAAAAAAGAAATCATGACCTGAAATGGCCTCAGAACTAAAGATCATCCCCGCTGCGGGACCCAAGGACTGGGACATGACCGGAACATGAAAGTCCAACTCTTATCAGAAGGAAGGGGTCCCTCATTCAGGAAGATCCAGTGTTAAAATTCCTTCCTCACCTCATACAAAAATGCTTAGAACCCTATCATAAATGTTTAGCACCTCATCATAAATGTTTAGAAGCCTGTCATAATTGTTTAAAATCTTACCATAAATGCCCGAAACCCATCAATCAAAATCTGTCCCACCAGTGTTTCCACATGCCAGCCTATTCTCCCTAAATTCTTAAATTTTGTCCCAAATCCTGAATTGGGGGTACAGATCCGAGGGCACAGGCCCCCCATCTCCCTGCAGATCAATCTTGCAGAATAAAAGCTGATTTCTCCCCACAAAGAATGATGCCATAGTTAATTGGGTTTTTTTATGCATATTGGGCAGAGAACTCCAATTTTGTGCAGTAAAAACTGCAAAAAATTAAATTCTAACCCTACAATCTTAACTCAGTTTGGTCCATTTGCCCATGCTATTTCCTTTGGCTGAAATTTCCTTTTTCACATATTCAAATTATATTATTTAACAAATCAGAAAGGAATTGTTTCTGTATGTCTAATCTAATTTTTGCTCTTGCCTCACACGTGGCCATGTTCCCTTTATTCATTCTCAAATTGTCCCTCTTTCCTCTTTATTTTTTTTTCTATTTTATTACTAGAAACACCAATGGTTAGCTGAATCATTGGAGAAAGCACAGAATACTGGCAATTAATATTGCACCCTATGCCTGACAGACATCTCTTTACAGGTGTGACTGGGCCACAGAAAGATGGGTGAGGGTAAGGAGAGTGAATCATAAATGAGGTATTTGAGTTTCTTCACTCCAACTAATGCCAACACTAAGACCTGCAATTCATGAAGCTATATCATCAGCATTCTTATCTCCCCAAGGACAAAGACTAAAATATCCATTATTGAAGCAAGAAGTTCATTTCCATTTTGCACTTTAGCTCTCTTAATGTATATAAAAAAGAAATACATAAAGAATTATGCAGGTAGGTACTCTGCTTTTCTGAATGGCACCTATTACATGAATTATCTCAGGGCAAAAGTATAAGTTAAATCAAAATGCAGCAAAACAACTGTCATGATTAATTAAATGGCACGTAAAGTATAGATTTAAGGTGTCATATATCAGTAAAGTCTACTAAAAAAAAGTTTATCGTCATGCCCTAAAGGTTAGATCATGACATAGTCTAGAAGCATGACTCTTCTGGAAGCATAAAGTTGAACAACAAAGTATATATTCTCTGCTTTAAGCTCTGTAGAGTATAAATTTAGAGTGGTTTAGCAGAAATACATCAACTGATTGCAATATTCATAATGATGCAAAAGAATCATTTTCTAAAAGAGAGCAGATTATCATGAAAATACTGATTTTATTCTTTCTTAAAATTAAAGTGTATGTGCATATGTGTGTGTTTTTAAGGGGCATTACTGTGAAAGAGAAACTGAATATACAGAGGGGAATAAAGAAAATAACAGCAAGAAAATGTTAAAGTTGATAAAATAGATCTGCATTTGAAAAGAGAAAAAGAGAAAGGAAAAAGGCTCTGTTCTTCTTAGAAAATCATTGACCCCCTTACCCTCTCCACATATGCTCTGATTAGCTCAATAGCAGTCTTTATCACATCCAAAGCCTTCAGCCTTGAAAAAACACTCATCTCTATGCAAGGCAATTAGGAAAAAAGTGTGCCCCGTACAAAGTAGGTTCTCAATAATGATGCTTTGGCCATCCAGAACAACACGGAAAGGAGATAGGCATTAACGAGTCAGGTCTGCTGAAAGTAGCACACATTTTAGAAATAAAAGGCTTTGCTAGTATTGGAGCTTAGGGTTGGCTACCCCACAATATCCCACAATGGCATATTAATTATTTGAATTAAAGTTACTTGAGAAGCAGTCAAGGTAAAAGAAGGCATTTCGATCCTCCTCTTTCTGTTCCCCCTGAAAGCAGGAAATAAGTCTCCCACATGAAATGTACCTTCCCTACACCAGGAGATAGACATTCTTATCACCAGAGTAAGGAATTCAGGGCTGAGAAGCTGTGTAAACAAATCCTGTTACTTTCACTAATTTACTACCTCAAGCCTAAAATCCGCTTCAATTCCTCTCTTACTACGTACCCCAAAATCTAAGTTTCTTTGTCCCGTCTGTCTTCACAAATTTACTGTTTCTTTGTATAAAACGATATAAAAGCAGCCTACTTTGCCCTTCTCGGGCAGCATCATTTTTATGATCTCTGATACATACGTATTAAATTGGGTTTTTCTCATGTTATTCTGATCTCGCGTCAATTTTATTATTAGTCCACCCACAAGAACACAAGAAGGGTAGAACAGGGAATTTCCCCCTCCTCAATACTAGAAAGGGCATAATGCCATTTTTGAAGGTCAAGAAGTCTTTCGAGTTCACTTCATTTCTGGATATTGTGTGCTGAAATTAGAATAGTCCTCCTAAGGCTGGTTAGCATCTGCTGAACCAGGTCAGCATAAAGAAACGAGCTTTAACATGATTGAGATTCTAATTATTTCTACATGGTCATTACTTCTGGGGAAATTACTTTAGGAGCATATACTTGTTTAAATACATCCATTTAATTTTGTTTTTTGGTCTCAAGCACATGAGCAACGCTGGAACAACTTACCAAGAAGAACTAAAAAGTTCCAAATTCCTCCAAAAAAGTAGCAAAACTAGAATAGCAGTATCTGAAATAGACTCCCAAACCAAGACTTAGTACTATAGTTTATGTTAAATTTTATAATCCTAAACCATAGTTTAAGTTGAAATTTTAAGACATGCAATACAGTATTTTCCCAAAATGACCATGGCAAGATTTCTAGTCCCACAAGCTCTTTCAGATCCTTGCCACTCTCCCACTAAGACGTGTGGGCTATTTCCCCTCCCCTTGAAACTGAGTAGGATTCTGTGATTACCTTGACAAACAGAATACAAGAAGAGACTCTGTGTGACTTCTGAGACGAGTCAAAAAACGCAATTCCGCTTTTGCTGGCTTTTCCTCTCTTTTTCTAGGCATGAGCCTTGGGAGCCCTCTGCCAATTTGTAAGAACTCCAGCTACCCTGAAGCCACCAAGCTGGCAAGATCACACAGAGAGACTAGAGACAGAAAGATGCCCAGAGAAACCTTCGAATAATTCTAGCCGCCAGCCTTCAAGTCTTCCAGCTGAGGCCCTAGACTTTATGGAGCAGAGACAAGTCAGCCCACTAT